ATGAGATGGTTCACATAAGGCCAAACTGTCGATCTATCATGCCTTATGGAATTAATCGTAAAGTGTACATCGCACTGCGAATTCTCCTTATTCAAATACCAAGTGCTCACCTCGCTTTTCAAAACTCATCATTATCTGGATATCCGAGAAGACTGCCGCCCTGCTGCGCGCTTAGCACAACCCGGCCGAGCCGTTACAGCACCGCCCACATCCACGCAGGCGGCACACAGCCCCAGAGGGGGGGCGCGGGCAGGCGCGGCCGGGCGCAGGTGCTCCGAGGGCCCCAAGGCGGCGAAGCTCGCCCTGGGCGGCCGTGGGTGAGGCCTCGAGGGTGCGGAGAGGCCGAGCTGCCCTTGCGCGCGGCCTCACTGACGCTCGACGGCCCCGCCTAGCAAGTTCTTTCCCGCCAAGGCGGGCCCTCTCCACCAGGGCCTGCGAGAGGGGCGTCATGGCGGGAACCAGTGTCCCGCTCCCAGAGTGCTCCTCTCTTAGGATTCCCCTACTCCACTCACCGGGAGCCCCCGACCCAATTCATGTTCTCGAACCTTCTGAACGCCCTCCTGCGGAGCTCACACGTCTTCGCTCTAAGAAACAGCCCGTTTGAAAGCTCCTGCCTCCTAAGGCGCCATCTCCCGGCAGCCTCTGCGTCCCCAGCAAACTTCCGGTCGCGGGCTCGGCCAGCTGAGAGCCTCGAGCACCGAGCACCGACAGGCTCCTTCCGGCTCCTTCCGGCCCAGGGCCACGCCCGGCTTCCCAAGAGGCTCCGCGGCTTCCGGTGCGCCGGCGGGGCGTGGCCTCCGTGCTGGGGCGGCCATGGCGGGCGCTGTGAGGCAGCAGCCGGCCAGCCCGCACCTGACAAGTTTCCGCCTCTGAGGCCAGGCGAACCGGAGGAAGTAGCAAGTGCCGAGTGGTCGCATAGAGTTTCTGGGCGTCTCCAACGTCATGATGTCTACCCGGGGACTAGTCACTGCTGGAACTGAGAAAACATGGGAAGGGCCGACGCGGGGATCACTGACCCTGAAGAGGCGGCCTCCGTTCCAGTGTAGACTGCATGCTCAGAGTCCTTCAGAACGGGAGTCCCAGTGCCCAGCGAGCAGTCGCTGGCAAGCACTGTGGCCATGGTGTGCCCTGCGCTTCCCGGGCTTCTGAAAGCTTGACCAAACCTGACGTAGGTTAGCGGCCTAATGATCTGTACTTATTTCTAAAAATGGTTTACTTTCTGATGATTTATAACCTAGATATATAGTACATATATAATTTATAGTATACTTATATTTGTATAACTCACATAGATGTATATGTCATCTGTATTACAATAATTTCTGATGTTTTATAGCTTACAAAGTATTCATGTATTTTTTCTAATATATTCTCTAATATATGATATCTATTTAACACTACTTTTGTATGTTTATTGGTTGTCTCTAGGAGAGTATTACTGTTGAGAGCAGAGTGATTTATAAATTATTGCTTTTAGAAGTTTTATTTCTCATGTTCAATTTCTTTTTCTAGGATAACTTCTTCCCTCAAGAAAATTTTAATGTTTTACATATAAATACAAGTTGAGAAGCTTGAGTGGAAATTAGGCCCAAGTATGTTTACTACAGTTACTATGTTAGACCCTCGGAGTGAGGATGCTAACACGTCGAGAGGCACACCCCAAAGACTGAGTCCAGACCAGCTGATGCAAAAGCAAGAGGATTTATTCGGCGTCTGTGCAGACGGGCCTCCTGAACTCCGGAGTACAGAGAGCGCCCCCAGCACAAAGCCACATGGTTTATATACCCGCAGCGACCAATCAAAAGCACTATAGAGTCCATGCACACAGCAGTCCAATCCGCGAGCTGATCATGTGAAAGGCATGTGTCCTCTATCCAATCAGCTACGGGATCACATGGGAGGCATGCACCTCATCGCCATTTTGTTGTTTACTTCTTTAGCAGTTCCTTTCCCTGCCAGCGCCATCTTGTTCACCCTGAGGGGGACGACGTCTCGCTCCCTTCGTTCCCCTGGTGGGAGAGCGGCGTCCCGCTTCCCACACCGTTATTTGAGTATTAGGAGGCATACAAACTGGGTTAGGTCTTAGCACAGCCAGGCACAAGTGTCGCAGCTAGGTAAGCATAGGGTCCCTTATTTTTATAGCTGCACCTAATTTTAGCTTTGGGGGAAAAAGTTTAGGGCTATAATTTTTAAACTTTAATTTTATTTGGGGCAAAGATAACTTCTTGTTTTTAATGGTATTGGCTTAGGTCACTCCATCTTGGTTTGATTTTTAAGGTTCTTCAACTAGTGAATTTTTAACCTCCTTTTTCTCTCCTAGATTGGAATTTGCTTTAGTAACACACAGCCAATTTAAAAAACAAAAGTGAAAGAAGCACTTTGAAAATCTTAGTCTCTCAAGGGTTGTATATTTCCTAAAATAAGTGCCTCGATGACTTCCTATCTTGATGACTTCCTATCTTGAATCTTTCCTTAGAATTGTCTGAAGGCTTGAGCTTAGACTCCATATTTTAGTAACTGACCTTCAGCTCGCCTCCTACCGCGATTTTGGTAATGAAATTTCTATCTCGATCAGTTTCCTCATACCCAATTCTTCATTCTCAAGTCTCTGTCGCCATGCATTAGCAGCTTTTCCTACCTCCCAGCCTCATTATGAGACAGTCACTGATGTGCCTACAGGTACGTGTTATTAAATTCTTGGATTCCACATGTCCCACTGCCCTGCTCCATCCCTGATTTGGCTGCTGGTGATGTAAGTCACTCGCCTGCACTGCCAGCTGCTGTCTGACCCATGCATCCCCGCCTGACTGAACATCCTGCCATAATCACCCAGAGTCAGATCTACCCTGACCCTCAACCTGTTCTGTCACAATTCACCTTTCTCTATTTAGCTGTCAGGAGATGTGACACAAATGATTACCATTACAAATGTAATGCCATCTTATTTTGCATAAATCAAAAGCAAGAATTTATGAATAACAGCATTTAACAGTAGCTATCACGGCCCTATGATCTCCACATATAGGCTTAAACAGTCATAATGAAGTAACAGAGTGTGCTGTTAACAAAGCAACTATCAAGGAGGCCTGTGGGAACTTGAGATTCAAGTATTAATAAATCTGCTAAATTGAATGAAACAAATGAAAAGATCTATGATGATTCTTCAAAATAATAAAAGTGCATAAGAAAGAAAAGTTTTAAAAGGTTAAGAATAGGGGCTGGTGCTGTGACCTGGTAGGTTAAGCCTCTGTCTGTGGCACCAGCATGCTATATAGGCATCAGTTTGAGCCCCAGCTGCTTCATTTCTGATCCAGCTCTCTGCTAATGTGCCTGGGAAAGCAGGAGAGGATGGCCCAAGTCCTTGGGCCCCTGTACCGCATGGGTGACTCAGAAGAAGCTCCTGGCTCCTGGCTTCAGATCAGCTCAGTTTCAGCCTTTGTGGCCATTTGGGAGTGAACCAGCAGATGAAAGAAATCTCTCTCCATCTCGCCCTCTCTGTCTATAACTCTGTTTCTCAAATAAATATTTTAAAATAGATAAATAAAAGGTTAAGAATATTGTCAGTTATAAAAATGAGAATAGTTGTTGATCATTACAAACTGAATAATGATGATCATTCAACATGGACACAGGTTTTCTATTCTAGCACAGAGGTTTGCAAGCTTCTGTAAAGGGCCAGTCTCCATTGCAACCATTCAGCTGGGCCACTGTGACTTGAAATAAGCCATGGACAAGAAGTCAATAAATGGGTGTGGCTGTCCCAATAAAATGTATTTACCAACATGGAAAATTTTCATACAACTTCTACATCACAAAATATTCTTTTTATATAGTTTGAACTACTTTAAACTGTGAAAATTATTATTTAGAGGTGATATAAAAATAAATGGCAGTTTAGAGTTGGTCCACCAGTTGCAATGCTCCAAACTCTGTTCTTTATTTTTTTACACTGATTCACGCAGGCATTTCTTTTCTTTTGATTTTTTTTAATTATTATTTGTTTACTTCAGAGGAACAGTGACAGACAGAGGGAGAGACAGAAACTTTCCTCCATTCTGGGGCTCACTCTCCAAATGGCTGTAACAGCTGCAACTGAGCTTATCAGAAGCCAGGAGCCAGGAGCTTCTTCTAGTTCGCCCACGTGGTGCAGGGGACCAAGTACTTGGGCCATCTTCTCCTGCTTTCCCAGGCCATAGCGGAGAGCTGGATTGGAATAGATCTAGCCTATTGTGTCACAGCACCAGCCGGGCCCTCTTCTATCTTAACGCTTATCGACCAAAAACGTGTATTTATATTGGGGGCGGGGCAAAAAATTTCCCCACATGCAAAAATACACCCAGCCTTGCACACAATACTCTGTGTATCTTTTAAAAATGGGCAAAAGTTTGCTTAGCTTCAAGCACTTTAAATCCTTTATTAGGGATATGCGGGGCTTTACTTTTTTTTTTTTTTAACACTGTTGTTTTTATCAAATAACAAAAATGGCAATAGGAAGTAGCCAGTAACACCTCCAAGCCTAAACAAAACAAACAAATTGGCAGAAGACGAGGAATCCTTGAAGGAAAAAAAAGGAAGCTCTTGGGGAAGCTATTTCTGCCACGCAATTGCAGCTGGACTCGCACATGACCTGTCTGGTGTTGAGACAATCTGTAACTCAAGAAGTGCTCGGCACTCCTCTAACCCACATTCACCTTGCAAGTGCACACGAGTGCACAGCTACATTCACCAGCCGCCCGGGGAAGGGGCGCCAGGTGCAGCCGAGACCTGCTTCGGGTCCCACCGACTTCCCGCCCGTTCACTGCCACAAGGCAAAGCCCCCCTACAACGTCTCTGCGGGCTTCTGGAATCTTCCGTGAAACCCCAGGAGCGAGCGGGCGCTCCCGCAGACGCAGCGGGGCTTTGGCCGTCGGCTCTCTGCGTTCCCCCGGGTCCCCTCCTGCTCGGCCGCCCCGACCCCGACCCCGGCCCCTCGCCCCGCTGCTCTCCCCGCGGCGTCGGGGGTCCCGGCTCAAACGCGCGCGGGCTCCGAGGCGCGGAGCATGCTCAGTGGCGGCGGCGCCCGGCCGCGTCCGCCCTCTCCCAAAATAGACGTTTAACTCTCTCCACTCCGACGTGCGAGGCTCCGGCGCCGCCGGCTCGCTCTCTCTCGCTCTCTCTCTCTCTCTCCCCTCATTTTCCAGGCTCCGAGGGAAGCGCCCCGGCAGCCAATGAGGGGCCCTGGCGGGCGGAGCCCGGCGCGGCCGGCGCCTCTGCGGGGACCCTCCCGGAGGACGGATGCGGCTGAGTGAGCCCGGCGCTCCCGGCTGACAGCCGAGGCGGGACGGCGACCGGCGCCGCCGCTGCGGGCTGCGGGGCGCTGCCAGGTTTGCCGGAGCCCCCGCCCGAGCATGCTCCCTTGACGCGGCTCCTCGCCGAAGCCGGCGCGGCTCCCGGAGGAAGATGACCCCCATGCTCAGCGCGGCGGCCGCCCGGGGACGATGGCCCCGGTCGAGCGCCGCCAGGAGGGCTGCCTGCCTGCTGGCCGCGGCGTACGCGCTGAAGACGCTCTACCCGGTGCTGGACAAGCGCCTGCGGCCGGCCGGCGCCGGCAGGAAGACGGCAGCAGCCGCCCGCCGCCGCCGGGCTGCAGGCGCCGGGGAGCTGCGGCACTGCACCGAGGCCGAGGGCGGCTGCGAGGCGCGCTCGCCCGCGGTGGACGCGGCTTCTTGCACCAGCTCCGGGCACTCCGGAAGATCCTCTTCCCGAAACTCGTGAGCCCCGAGAGCGGGTGGCTGTGCCTGCACTCGGTGGCCCTGGTCTCCAGGACGTTTCTGTCCATCTACGTGGCCGGCCTGGACGGGAAGATCGTGAAGAGCATCGTGGAGAAGCAGCCGCGCTCCTTCGCGGTGCAGCTGGCCAAGTGGCTGATGATCGCCATCCCGGCCACGTTCGTCAACAGCGCCATCCGCTACCTGGAATGCAAGCTGGCGCTGGCCTTCCGGACGCGCCTGGTGGACCACGCCTACGAGACCTACTTCGCAGACCAGACTTACTACAAGGTGATCAACATGGACGGGAGGCTGGCGAACCCCGACCAGTCCCTGACCGACGACATCATGATGTTCGCGCAGTCCGTGGCCCACCTGTACTCCAACCTGACCAAGCCCGTCCTGGACGTGATCCTCACGTCCTACACCCTCATCCGGACCGCCAGGTCCAGAGGGGCCAGCCCCATCGGGCCCACCGTGCTGGCGGGGCTGGTGGTGTACGCCACGGCCAAGGTGTTGAAAGCCTGCTCTCCCAGATTTGGCAAACTGGTGGCCGAAGAGGCCCACCGGAAAGGCTACCTGCGGTACGTGCACTCCAGGATTATCGCCAACGTGGAAGAAATTGCCTTCTACAGAGGACACAAGGTAAGACAGACAATAAGGTAGCAGGTGCAACGCGAGGCCGTTCAACCTGCCCCCGCGGTGCCACACACCATCTGTTACCCACCCCTTCAGCGTCTCTGATTCCTCTGACTTCTCAACCCGCACTAAGATCCAGGCGTCGTCGTGGTCCTGTCTTCGTCACAGGCTGGTTAAGAATGAGACAATGCAAACTTTCTTAAAGTTTTGTGAGTTAGCATTTTCAGCACTTAAAATAAAAAAGCAGTCTGGTTAGCCTCAGTTACTTACTGTAAGTATGCCCCTTAGTTATCTCAAAAGCATTTTCCCAAATTTAAATCCTGAGCCGGTAGGCGGTTTAGCACTTGACAAGGAAATATGTCTTTGGAGGACAGGAGTGAACACGTTTGCACCGAGATGGGACACTTGTGGTGGTCTGAGTATTCTCTGTGGTTGTCGGGTGGTTTCTGTCGAGAGCCAAGAGGGAGGAACACCCAGCTTCCACATGGGAGAAAATGTTGACAATTTTGCATGTCTGGCCAGCAACGGAGTGTCCTACATACTGAAAAGCTCAGCATAGCGTCTCATAAATCAGCATTGCCAGTACTTGTGTTTCATGTTTAATACTATATTGTGACACAAACTTTAACAGACGCTGGGATGAAATTGTGTCTAGCTTTGAGGAAAAAGCTGAAATGACAGGAGAAGCTGAGATGAGAGGAAAGGAAGTTCTAGGGCATTAAAAGTAAAGATTTTTCAAGACTAAGCAAGTCTCTAGCACAATTAGCCAAATTACATAAACCCACAGTCCATGACTGAATATTGACTGTTTGCAGGGGATGACCTGACAAATGAAGTGGAAGCTGGTGTTTTAACCATGAAGCAGAAAGGTTTAATTTTTAATGCATTGGTAATTACTGGGCTTTTTAAAACAGCACAGCTAGTCTGAAGACAATTTAAGGCACATTTAGGATTTCTACTCCAGCAGGAAAATTAGCCTCATATGCTGTTTTAATCATATTGATTTGTCATTCTTTTTGAATCACTGAACCCAGTGAGGTTATTTATGGTACGCTGTAGGCTTCTTGCATAAAAGACAAAAATCTAATAAACTGAAATAGTTCAAAAGTCAAGTTTATGCATAAGTTTGTCATGTGTTTATTTTCAGATATTTTGGTGTGATAGGGAAGAATATGGCTCAAACATTGTTTGATCATATATTACAGAGTATCATTTAGTTTTAACATCTTATAACATCATTGGAAATCAAATTGTAAATCACTGGCATGCACTTTATACCTAGCATTATGTTCACTGGGAATAATAAATTTTTTATAATACAGGTATAACCAGAACTAAATAAAAATTACTAATTCTGCTATTAGTCTTGGCTATTACGACTCACACATAACGCTGTACTGAGTAAAATAAAGGAGTATCTGCATATACTTAAAGAACATTCTCAAACACACACAGTGGGTTTTTTTAAATTTTTGTTTGTTTGTGGTGGAGGTTTTTTTTTTTTTTTTTTTTTTTTTTTTTTTGAGATTTTAAAAAGAAAGATTTATTAGCACCAGAGACCTCAAGCCAGAGCGGCATGGAGGGGGGCTTCCAGGAGAGGAAACACACCTGAAAGTGGTCTGTAGCAGTTGAGTTTTTGAGCACAATTTTGATTGATATTCAGGTATAAGGCGGAGACAATAGCCATCAAAAGACCTGATTTATAATCCTTTATCCTCTCTGGCTTGCTCATGATGAAACAAACCAACCCAGAATGGTGGGATAGGTAACTTGTTTTCACAATAAACTGTGAGCTCAGGAAGATGGCACACACGGTATTTACTTGTATCGCCCCTGCTAGTTCATCCTCTTCTCATTTCTCCTCTGTAGGTTGAAATGAAGCAACTGCAGAAGAGCTACAGAGCTCTGGCCGACCAGATGAACCTTCTCCTATCCAAGCGCCTGTGGTACATCATGATCGAGCAGTTCCTGATGAAGTATGTGTGGAGCAGCAGCGGACTCATTATGGTGGCTATACCTATTATCACTGCGACGGGCTTTGCAGACGGTGGTAATGGCATTTAAGCTTAATAGCGAATATGTGCTTGACGTTGTTTCTCTTCAAGGTGTCATTGTTGCTAGTTTTCTATGAGTAAAAGTAAGAACCATCGCTTTTCTATAAATATTCACAGTCAGAAACCATGGCCGACTTCGGCGTGTCCAGTCATAGCCCAGCAGTATGGGAAAAAGGAGACAAGTGGTTCAAAAGATTGTCCCGCTTTGGAGACATTTCGGAGATCTCTGATGCAGTGTCTCTGGACACTGACCTTGAGCAGTTTAAGACTGCATGATTCTGCACATTCAGCCCCAAAATACATTAACACCTTGAGAAAGAATATGACGCAAGCTCCCCTCTTGTGTGATAGTCAGCTTTGGTTCTGCACATTCCATTCATTTAGTCCATAAACAATGCGTCCTTGAATTTGTCCTGATTTGTGATTGAGAAGTTAGCTGGCTCCACTAGGCAAGCAGCAATGGTTTCAAGGAGTGTTCAAGTGCTAAAGGAGGTCTCCCTGACTTGTGGGTAATACGGATAATCTCCTGTGTAGCAGGATCTGGAAGTGGGTGTCAGGGTGGCAGTGTGGAGCTGTGAGAATCCACTTCTATCCTGTCACTGTCTCAACAGTTTCTATGAATGTTTTTCATCCTTTGGAATAACCAAGAAAGATAAAGGCAAGAAAGATGAGGCTAACATGTTGTTTAATCCTTGGACAGCAGTTTGAGTCTTGGTTGGCAGGAACAGAGGAAATTAGTTGAAGCAGCAGCATTTTCTGCTTTTCACCCAAAATGAAACCACCCTTCTCTCTCTCTCTTTAAAAATCACTGAGCCAGAACTGGCCTCAGTGTTAAGGGAGCTGGGAAAAGCACGTGCTTTGCAGGGAGACTGAGCTGGATGCAACTTGAGGGCCCCTTGCTAGCAGGATCCTCTTCTTGCATTAATGAGACTCTCTCGGCCTCAGTTTCCTCATCTGGAAACCAGCCTCAGGGAGACTGCCACCGAGGGTGTGCTTGTAAGGATTTCCAAGAATAGGGCAGGTTTTCCTTGACCTGCGCCAACAGTCACTACCTAGGAAGCAAAGGCAGCACTCAGAATAGTGTCACAGGGTCACAGTTTTACAGGTAATTCTGGTGTAGAATTAAGGTTTAATAGTTTTTGTTTGAAGGATCTGATGTAAACAAGTTTAAAAATTGCAATATGCTTTAATATTTTGAAGCAGCGACTCAATGTTTTAACCAATCATCACAAAAACGCTTGGAAAATCTGAGTGATTCTTAACCTAAAGATGTTCCTTTTAGTAAATTATGATTTGTCAGTCCTTTGTGGTAGGTGCTATGCTACATACGCCAAGTATACTCCACAATTGAGCTGCCTAACAGATAGAGTGTATTGAACCACTGGTGAAAATGAATTTGATTTTTGTATTTTCAAATTTTACTTAAAAAAATCCTATAATTAAAAATGTGTGTATGATAAAGGCATTGCTGGTTATGGGATTCTTACCCATAATCTTATCATAATAAAACAAAATACCTTTTCAAAGGAATATTAGAGAAAAGAAGACATTTTTAAAACCTATGACATTAAAATTAGTTTTACTAAGAAATTTGACAAAATTACCATATGTTCATTAAAATAATAGTACTCGTTTAAAGGTTTCGTATAGAATATATATTTGAGACAGAATTTTTTGTTATTCTGTTAGCGGTGCTTGGGTGCACTGATACTAGAAAACCCTGGAGAATTCAGCAGAGAACAGAGAAAATGCAGCTATTAATGGTGACAAATTAACCCCACAGAGACCAGTATGAAGTAAACAATGTATGCAAATAATATAACAAGTTTTTTTGACATGGTGTAATAAGATATTTAAAAATACATCCTAAAACCCTGAGTATATCGTGTTAAAGAAATAATGCTAACATTTTCTATTGAAATCACAATGATCACATCGATGCAAATGAGGCAAAATATTCCCAAAAGCTTCTTTCAAAAGGAAATTTTTAAACAAAAGCAGCAGTGTAATAATTTCATAGAAGAAATGAATTCATGAGACAGATCGTTAACCAAGAGTGAGCTTCTAAATATTCTGTAACATCTAAGGTTACTCCGTATGTCCGTCACATGTATATGTATGTATACAGGTGGGGTCTTCAAGAACTTCAGGGAAAACACATATTATGTAAAAACTGTAAGTAGATTACAATTTTTTTGCACCAGAACATTACTTTGTCATTTAGTTCCATTTCCATGAAGGTCTCGAAGCACCCTCCTACTACAGTACCGTTTTCCTTTTCCCCTCCAACAACAATTACACAATTCTCTCTCCAATCTGTGTTTTCTCCTGCTCAGGTTCCTGCTCAGGTTCACAGCCCTCACTTAGTCCTTCAGACAACAGTAATTGTTTCAGCAAACACTGAGTGTTTTCTTCTTGTCTTTTCCAAAGATTTATTTTATTTATTTGAGAGGTAGAGTTACAGAGAGAGAGAGGCAGAAAGGGAGGTCTTTCATCTGCTGGCTCACACCCCAAATAGCCTAAATGGCCTGGGCTGGGCCAGGCTGAAGCCGGGAGTCAGAAGCTTCTTCGGGGACTCTGATGTGGGTGCAGGGGCCCGGGTGCTTGGGCCGTCTTCCACTGACTTCCCTGGCCATTAGCAGGGAGCTGGATCAGAAGAGGAGCAGTGGAGATTCAAACTGGTGCCCACACAGGATGCTGGAGCTGCAGGCAGTAGTGTAACCTGCTAAGCCACAACTCTGGTCCCTGTTTTCTTATGAAATACATGTAAGCTGTTGCTCATCTTAAAAGTGGCCAATTTGTTCTTAATGATTTGTCAAAGTCCTTTTGTATTATTCAGATTCTTTTGTCAGATAGACACACACACACACACACACAGGCACACATGCACAATCTCACTTTTCCCCACTCTGTCTGCACTTTCACTCTATTAATGGTATGCAAGGTGAGTTCATAATTTTAATATAGTCCGATCTATAAGTAAGTTTTCTGTAATCAGTGGGTTTGTGTCATATTTAAGAAATATTTGATCATAAACAGCAGGATTGCAAAGATATTCTCCTGGTTTAACTTCTGGGAATTTTACTGGGTTTTGCAGTTCACATTCAGATTTTAATCCATTTAAAATTCATGTTTATAAACAGTTTGTGGTTAATGAAAGCCACAGTTTTTTCCTGAGATTTGTCAAAATCACAAAGATAACAAAAAAAGAAAAAAAACTCAGATTATAAGAAAAAAAGTACAGAGAGATAATATTTTTAAAATAATATACTTTGTTATATCACTTTTAGGTTCATAAACAAATTTATTTTGAAGTACAGAATGCTCAGATACCCTCTCCTCCTGGTAACTCCCCCTACTGTTTACATCCGGGTTATGAACTAGCACTTACACACTGTTAGCTGAAGCCCATAATTCAAGGTATGGTGTACTCTCTGTGTTGTACAGTTCTGGGGGTCTTGATAAACATATAATGATTACCTTACTTTTTCAATCTCTTCTAACCCTTTCAGTGAAACAGCAAGAGATGTGGCCAGGTTTTAATACATATATATTAGTGTCAGAACTCCAAAATAGCAGTAAAATAAACAGGTATAATGTTACATCTAAAAGAATTAACTTTTGTTAAAGTAGTTCAGACATGTGGTGAGGAAAATAAATTATGTGCTGCTCCAAGATATAAAATCAGTGAGTATTTTAGGTCATGGGTTTGTGTCTCCAACAGTAAAGAATCTGGCCTTGTCATGGAGGTCAGGCAAATTGGCTGTTGTGTGCAAGACAAATGCTGCTGGCACTGCTCTCAAGGTACATACCAAAGAATCCCCCGGAGAATAAGTCACATCAGATCTCAGGGAAGCTGTTTGTGAACTTGGTGCCACAAGCATGAAGGAAACCCAACAGGCATCAGTCCGCCAGAGGAACGTGGAAATTGCCTTGCTACGTCAGGCAGCAGTCCTGTGCAAATCTGTTTGCTCCTCTGCAGAGGCTGGCAGTAAAAACTACAGTTCAACCCTCTAAACCCACATTCATAAAATCGTTTTAGATCCGCATTCACGTTCCCTATGAGCCCTATTGTTAATGCTTTAACACAGCAGTTCACTGAGGACCCTCTGAGAATCCTGTGTGTGTGTGTGTGTGTGTGTGTGTGTGTGGCTACCTAAATTATTACACATTTGAATGTGTCTTCAAGAGCATCTGCATGCTCATAGCAGTCTGTTTACCTAATCGCATCCTTCGCCCTTTAGAGCAGTGCTCATCAGCCCTTCCTTGCCTTCTGCGGGGAGACTGACTAGCTCCAGGGGGCCTGGTGGTAGTTCTCTAGAAAGGTGATTAACAGTAGGACTCAGAGGGGACATACCAGACTGTGCTTAAAAGGAACCCGTGAACTCAGGGTGATTTTGATCCTCAGTGAAACAGTGGCCTGACAGCCAGCGCACTGCAGCCTGACCACACTTGTCATCCGAGCAGTGTTCCTTAACATCTCCCTTCTCTGCGCCACTACCATTGCTGCACTTGGGATCTCTTACACTTACGTGCATTTTCAAGGCCTCCCTCAAAATTTGCTCCTCCATGAAGCATTTCTGTCTCTTGCAGCAAGAAACATCTTACGGCATTAACTCTCATCACAGTCCATCCTGCAGGTAGTGGTTTATGAATTTTTCTTCTCTCTGCTATTAAACTGTAAGCTAATGAAAGAACCTGCAAATCCCATTTTCCTCATATGCTCCACAGTTTTTTGCCCAGTTTCTTGCACAGTTAATGTTTAGTAAATATCTGTTGAGTTAGTTTTTCACGGGTCCCTTTAAAAATTAGCTGAGTTCTCTATAAGCAAGTGAAGTTTAAAATATTTGATAATTATGTAATTACATATTTGCATTGCTTTGGGGGAGAAAACCTTTCAGTCAAAAAATTATATCAAATTATCATTTGTGGGGAGCAACTCGGACTAGACTAAGTTACTGGAATTAAGACTTATTCTATGCATCTGCTCTCCCACAATATGGCGCTGGGAGAGGAGGAAACAGCTTCTACGCAGCTGCCTCCAGTTCAACCAATAACCTGCAGGAGCTGCTCCTGATTGGAGGAGAGCAGCGTACTTGGCGTGTGGGTAGCAGAGTTGGGATTGGTGGAAGAGGACTATAAAGGAGGAGAGAGACAACATGCACCAGGAACATCTAAGGGGAACATCTAAGGGGAACACCTGTGCAGCCCCCGAGAGAGCCGGCCGGTGGTGTGCCGCTCCCCTGAGGAAGTGGGGAAAGTGGCAGGGGGAGCCGCCCTTCCACGGAGGTGGAAGGATTGGCAGCCAACCCGGGAAGAACCAGAAGCAAACCCGGGAAGGGCCGAGCAGACAGAAGAACAGCGCAGGGTCCAGTGTTGTTCCTCCACGAAGAGGGGGAGCGACAATCATTACCAATCTATCTGTTAATCTGCAACATCTAATTTGAAATGTGATTATAGAAGGACTTCGTGAAGAATCATGTTGATAGAAATGTTAAAGTAGTGATCTGGAGAAGATAATTTTGGAGAACAAGGTGAAAACTGAGTAGATATTCAGTAATAGCAATGGTGTCTGGAGAAGATGTAACAGCTACCATACAGCACTGAACGTGACACCTCGTTTGTCGTTCATGCTGTTTGAGACTGCATTGGTATTTCACTATTTTACAGGGGAAGATCAGCTGTGGGGAAGATAATTGCCTGGCTCTGCCTGTTGCTTTTCCATGAGGTTGTAGAATCTGGATTCAAACCTATTTTAACTCCTGACTCTGAACTGGAATTCTACACTGACAATAACTTGGGATGTTCATCCATTCATGCACACAGACACACATGCATACTTCTGTCCATCCTTCCATTCAGTACACATTATGGAGTACCATGTGCTCAACACTGCGCTGAGTATTCGGAATAAAGAAGAAAACTTATAGTCTTGACCCTCAAGGAAGTTATTGTCCACTAGAAGGGGCAGACAAGAGTTTTCAGGGAAACATGTACTAAAGAATTAACTCCTGGGGAAGGGAAAAGAGACGGGCAAAAAAGGGAGGGAAGTGTGTTAAAGCTTGAAGGAGTCACCTATGCAAAATACCAGAAAATTAACAGAGTGCTGTATGTGTGGGACACAGCTGGAGTGTTGACGGGGGGCTGAGAGAGAAGCACGACGCAATGGCCACCTCATGTACAGTTCCATGAAAGAGACCACCAGAAATGTTGGCTTATGTTCTAGCTAGTAGTATTTATTGCCCAGGTGTAGTAAGACCAGGGATTTAGATGTGGAAAAGATTAAAAGCACGCTAAATGAAAATAATCTCAGCCCTATAGATTTATTTATTTATTTATTTTTAAGAATTCGTTATTTGAAAGTCAGAGTTACACAGAGCAGGAGAGGCACAGAGAGAGAGAGAGGTCTTTCATCTGCTGGTTCACCCCTAGTTGGCCGCAACAACTGGAGCTGCGCTGATTTTTAAAGATTTTTAAATCTTTAAAAAATAATAATAGTATAACAATAAAACAAAACAAAGTTTAGTAAAACATGGTAAAAATACTATAATTTCACATTTAATTATATTACTAGGAAATTGCTCATATAATGAAAAATTAATATCTGGTTGCTTTTAGACCTGGAAGATGGCCCCAAACAAGCTATGGTCAGTGAACGGACAGAAGCCTTTACCACTGCACGGAACCTGCTGGCTTCTGGTGCTGACGCTATTGAAAGGATCATGTCTTCGTACAAAGAGGTACTTGCATTTCTTGTTGCTCATTTGAAGGAAAGAAGGTACCATAAATGACATTCAAGCAAAATGTAAATGACCAGGTATCCTTGGTATTCTGGAAACACATCTTCACTCTATGAAAAACTGCTAAGACAGCAACTCCCAAATGTGTTACTGCTAATACTCTTTATTTTGTGACTCCTCCTGTTCTCCATAGAGTATGGCATAATTTTATTAAATTTAAAATAATGTCTTAGGGGGGCCTGTGTTGTAGCATGACAGGTAAAGCAGTTGCCTGTCCTGGCTGTCTCACTTCCCATCTGGCTTCCTGCTAATGGTCTGGGAAAAGCAGCAGCAGATGGCCTAAGTGCTCATGCCCCTGCCCTTCATGTGAGAGACCAGGATGGAGCTCCTGGTTTTGTCCTGGCCTTTGTGGCTATCTGGAGAATGAACCAGCGGATGGAAGATCTCTCTCTCTCTCTCTCTCTCTCTCTCTCTCTCTGTCTCTGTGTGTGTGTGTGTGTGTGTGTCTGTCTGTCTGTCTCTCCCTTTCTCTTGCTCTCTCTTTCAAAATAAATCTTTAAAATAACCCATTAGGCACAGACTGTGGAACCAGAAGGCCTTAATCTACATTCTTGTTTCCATACTTATAAATTATGTGACCTTGGTAAACTTTCTTAACACATCTGTAACTCTATTTCCTCATACGTAAAACGGGAATGATGATAGCATTGACTATGTCAGGTCACTGCAAGTTCACACATGCAGAAAACTCAAAATGATGTATACTAACCTGTTGGCTTATTATATTGCATGTCTTACAGATTTTGCCCGTCCTGGGTTGTTGAAGCCTGGACAACCACATATCAAACCTTGCAATTCCATTCTTCCTCTTGTCTGCCCCTTCATTCTCTGTGGTCACCACTGTGTCTTTTTTTTTTTTTTTTTTTGACAGGCAGAGTTAGACAGTGAGAGAGAGAGAAAGAGAGAGAAAGGTATTCCTTTCTCCTTTAGTTCACTCCCCAAATGGCCACCACGGCCAGCGCACTGCAGCCGGCGCACTGTGGCTGGCGTACTGTGCCTATCCAAAGAGCCAGGTGCTTCCTCCTGGTCTCCCATGCGGGTGCAGGGCCCAAGCACTTGGGCCATCCTTCACTGCCCTCCCGGGCCACAGCAGAGAGCTGGCCTGGAAGAGGGGCAACTGGGACAGAATCCGGCGCTCAACAGGGACTAGAACCCGGGGTGAGCCGCGGCACCCGCCACCACTGTGTGCTTCTGGTATTTGGCACATCATGGCTGTGTCTCCTGCACCAGACATGTGTGCCTTCAAAACAGGCAATGGTCTTAACCATCTTGTCATTCCTAATATCTGTTTTAACACTTGGAATATGTATGTAGTTAACAAATGTTTGTTGAAAGAATGGTAATAAGACCTACAGATAGCATGGGGCTAAAGTTAAAATCACTTTATCCAGTTTGGATATTATCCGATAGTCTCTTGAACAGTTGTTCTCACTTTGAATTACTTTTGTGACTTTGCTATCAATATAATTTACTACAGCATCATCATACATTTAGCTGCCTACTAAATCAGACTTGAATAAACTGTGTAGAATTACCAATTTTGTGATTTGCTGACAGAATTTTTAAGTCTACAAAAACTGATTAATTTAATTAGGTGTTTTGTTTTAAAGGAGTAAAACTAGTTGTTCAGGCCATGTATCTAAAGAACTCAAATAAAACATTTTTTTCAAGTAATAATTTTGATTATCTGGAAAAGCAGTCTTTGGGGATAGATTTTCTGATGTAATAAATGACAAATGAAAATTGTGTTTTTCTCACATGAAAATACTCTGCCCTCTAAGAAATGTCCTCATAGAAAGGACATTAGTCTTTTTCCATTGCCTCTCCTTAGATGGCTCTGCTTTGCTTTATTTGGCCTGAATTTGCTTTGAATCTAGAATTTTTCACTTTAAAAAAGTTTTGTACACTGTGACATCATCTAAAAACACCATGCTGTCTGTGTTAGCTGCAGAAGGAGCAAGTTCTAGGGCACAGCTCCTGTCTTTTATCCCAAAGAAATTTGCCCGGGCCCGTTCTTAGTGTCTTCCAGACACTCTGCCTGTTCCACCCTCTGTCCTGGCTTACTCACCCACTGCCTCCTCATCCTTCTTGAAGTGCTCTCTACTTTGGGTTTTAGGAATTTTTTTCTCTACGAATAGGTATATTTGCCCAGGTTTCTCCTGAATCTTTATTTCCTTAATCCATAGCTTTCTTTTGCTTGAGAACTCAAACAATTCCTTTGAGATAGCATTTTAGAAACGATCCTCTAAATATCCTAACAATAATATGTAGAAATAAAATATGAGTGCAATTTCAGACCGTCTACTCGGTAGAAATATGAACTTGAAGACAGTTTAAGGGCAGTACTTAGCCATCTGCTGCGTAAGTTCTACACACAGAGAAATCTTACACAAATGTCAGTATTGTTGTATTATTCCCTCAGTTATTGCTGGAGAAACATTTTATTGGTGACATACCCTGCTTCGTGGTACTAGTTTCCTAGATTTGTGCTTTTTTTTTCACTGGGAAAGAGAGTCTCCATAGACGAGTCGTCTCTCGCAGCAGGTGTTCCCTTGATAGAGAAGCAGCAGGAGATGAACCCAGATTGGACAGCTGGCAGACTAGGAGCACAGCATCATTCTCCTGGCCTTAAGGACTCAGGCAGAGATTGTGTCATTTTATCATTTAATCTTGCCTTTTAAAACCTGCATATCTCAGTTTCTCCCTGGGGCTTAGAAAACATGTTTAGCATGCAAGGAAGCTGGATTGTGGGATTTGTATTGAAAAAGGTTAGAAGCTTTTAACTGAGCTCACTTTCAGTATTGGTGTTCTCTTGCACAGCTATTTCTCTAGCCCAATAGGAATTTCAGCAATTGGTTTGGTTCTGAAATGCTGATTTCATAATAAGAAAAAACATGTTATTCTGAGATTAGAAATAGAACAAAATAGTGCCAAAGTTAAAGAATCATCATTTTATTGAATTGACCTAACTAAGGCTTTCACAACATTTCTAATTTTCTGGAAATGCAGTTTGTCATATCACTAGGAGCCAAATCAGAAACTTGACTGAAAGATTCTTAATTTTCACTAACATTTTACAAACTTCATGTTTAATTTTGTTTTTCTGTTGTTCCTTTTAAAGATTTATCTATTATTTATGTAAATAGTTATTTATTTGAAAGGCAAAGTGAAAAGAGAAAGATGGAGAGATCTTCCATAAACTGTTTTGCTCCCCAAAAAGCCACAACATCCAGAGTTGTGCAAAGCTTAAACCAGGAGCCAGGAACTGCATCCTGGTTACCCACACGGGTGGCAGGGGCCCAAGCCCTGGAACCGTCATCTGTAGCTTCCTAGGCCCGTCTGCAGGGGGCTGGATGGGAAGCAGACCAGCAGAGACTTAAATCAGACCTCTGGCATGGGGTGTGGGTGTCTCAAGTGGTGACAAACTGCTGTGCCACAGTGGCCATCTCAGTTTAAACCTTGACTTCAGTGGGTGGTTTTTCACATGTGTTCCAATTCCAAACAGACTTACATTGACATGTTGCTGTATTGCTCTTGATAAACTTTTTACTGTCACTCGTCGTAATTATCAAATGTGTTACCTGGTTCTTATGCAATCAAACGGAATCTTAAATATTAAATCCAGAAGTTAATATGGGAGGCTGGCCTTGTGCTACAGTGAGTTAAGCAGCAACCCCATTTTGGAGAGCCGGTTCAAGTCCCATTTGCTCTACTTCTAGTCCAGCTTCCTGCTAATGTGCATGAGATGGCAGTGAATGATGGCTCAAGTACTTGGCCCCTGCCGCCCAGATGGGAGATCAGGTTGGAGTTACTGGCTCCTGGCTTTGGCCTGATCCAACCCTGGCTATTGTGACCATCTGAGGAATCAACCAGCAGATGAAGAATTCTCTCTCCCTCTCTCTCTCTATCTCTCTCTCTCTCTGATGCTCTTGCCTTTCAAATAAATAAATCCTTTTCTTAAAAAAAATTTGTTTGTTTACTTAAAAAGCAGTTACAGGGAGAGAAGGAAGAGAGAGAGAAGTCTTCCATCTGCTGGTTCACTCCCCAGATGGTCACAATAGCTGGGATTGGGCCAGGCTTATGCTAAGAGCCTGGAACCCCATCTGGGTCTTCCACATTGGTGGCAGAGACCCAACAACTTAGGCCATCTTCTTCTTCTTTTTTTTTTTTTTTTAAGATTTACTTTATTTATTTATTTAAAAGACAGAGTTACAGAGAGTGATAGAGACAGAGAGAGGTCTTCCATCTGCTAGTTCATTCCCCCAAATGGCTGCAACAGCTAGACCTGAGCAGATCTGAAGCCAGGAGCCAGGAGCTTATTTTGGGTCTCCCATGTAGGTGCAGGGGCCCAAGCACTTGAGCCATCTTCTACTGCTTTCCCAGGTGCATTAGCAGGGAGCTGGATTGGAAGTAGAGTAACTGATACACAAACTGGCATCCAGATGGGATGCCGGTGTCGCAGACAGCGGCTTAAATCCACTGTACCACAGTGCTAGACCCAATAAATTCTTTAAAAAAAAAAAAAAGAAATAACAAACTTGCATTACATATTTATCTAAAAGTCTGTCTTGGATGTGCTAACTCTGTTTTATCTCTCTGTGTTGATTTTAGATCACTGAATTAGCAGGTTATACTGCTCGAGTGTACAATATGTTTTGGGTCTTTGATGAAGTAAAAAGAGGCATTTATAAGAGAACCAGTGTCCTTCAAGAACCTGAAAACCATGGCAGGAATGGGGTTGACATAGAGCTACCTCTAAGTGACACACTGGCAATCAGAGGTATTAAATCAATTGTTTTCATACTTTTTCTATATTTGAGTGTTTCTCAACAAAACAATTTTTTTAGAAGATAGCTTTTAATAGCTACAAGGAACCAATATTTAGATAACCAACATTATTGAAGCAGCTATCCCTAAAATTAGGATTGCAATTTGAGGAGTGGTGACTAACATTACCATAAAAATCAATGTTATGCTACTTTTATTTAGGACAAAACTTTCCAGAATTATTTTTGGAAACTGCACATATGGCAGTAGCAATTCTTTGTCTTTAAAATTCAACTAAAAGAATTACTGCTATTGTCATATTGTTTTTCATTGTCCTGTTTCTAAACTTAAGTTTGGTTGTCATATGACTGAAAATTGTATTGCTCATTGTTTTAATTCCCTTCTTGCAGTCCTTTTTTTTCTGTAGGAAAGATTAGAGAAATAGAGGAATTATAAAAAGTATGGTCAGGTTATATTAGAGTAAGGTTAGCCTTGCTGTCATAATTATGTTGACATTTGATTATGGTAAAATAATGTTTCTCAGATTTTCCAAATAGATGTGTCAGATATATAAATTTACATTACACTCTGCTTCAGTTATAGATGTCTTTACATTTTGCTTCTATGATTTATCACTGCGAATTATCTTTCTAATCGAACTTACTGTTGTGCTTCGTTATACTTGAAGTTGTTTAATTAGCAGTAACATTTGTCAGCTCTTGTAATTTAAACTGTTCCTCAATTACAGGAAAAGTTATTGATGTGGATCGTGGAATTATTTGTGAAAATGTCCCCATAATCACACCAGCTGGAGAAGTGGTGGCTTCAAGGCTGAACTTCAAAGTAAGATGATATTCAAGGATCTTCTGCTTGTTGCCATCACACTAACATAAAACAGCTCAGAATTCCTATGCCATGTGTTAGGTGCTGGGAGGAGCATTCGGAAAGGAGGGGAAATCAAGGCAGGCACAGTGGCTCAGTCCAGAGCAGTTGCTGCCTCAGGAAGCAGAGAGAAAAGAGGATTTTGCTCTCTGCTGCATTGTTGCCAGGTCGCAAATGAAAATTGCACTGCATTGAGAGCCTGTGCAAGGTAACTTTAGAGGACAATAGGGAATTTCCTTAGGAATTAGTATACGGAAATAAATTTTAATTTTTCATAATAGGAAATCATGATAAAGATACAAGCCAATACTTTCTATTAGCAAATTTTAACTCTGTTCATAATAAACTCTCTATCTTTAATATTTTTCTCATTTTTAAAAAAGATTTATTTTTTGTTTGAAGTCAGAGTTACAGACAGGGGAGAGCAAGAGAGGGAGAGAGATCTTTCATCTGCTGGTTCACTCCTCAAATAGCTGCAGTGCCCAGGGCTGGGCCAGGCCAGGCCAGGATGATCCAGGAACTTCTTCTTCTTCTTTTTTTTTGGACAGGTAGAGTTACAGCCAGTGAGAGAGTGAGAGAGAGAGAGAGAGAGAGAGAAAGAGACAAAGGTCTTCTCTTTCACTCCCCAAATGACCTCAACAGCCAGGGTTGGACCAGACCGAAGGCAGGAGCCAAGAGCTTCTTCTGGGTTTTCCATGTGGGTGCAGGGGCCCAACCAATTGAGCCTTTTTCCACTGCTTTCCCAGAGCAGAGGGGAGAGGCAGAGAGAGAGAATGGTCTTCCTTCTGTTGGTTCACTCCCCAAATGGCCGCCAATCCAAAGCCAGGAGCCAGATGCTTCCTCATGGTCTCCCACGCAAGTGCAGGGGCCCAAGCACCCGGGCCATCTTCCACTGCCTTCCCGGGCCACAGCAGAGAGCTGGACTGGAAGACAAGCAACCGGGACTAGAACCCAGCACCCGTATGGGATGCTGGCACCGCAGGCGGAGGATTAACCAAGTGAGCCACGGTGCTGGCCCAAGATCCAGGAACTTCTTATGGGACTCCCACATGGGTACAGGGACCCAAGCAGTTGAGCCATCTTCTGCTGCTTTTTCCAGGCCATTAGCAGGGAGCCAGATCTGAAGTGGAGCAGCCAGGACACAACCAAGAGCCCATATGGGACACCAGTGTCACAGGCGGTAGCTTTACCATTTGTGGCACAATGCCAGCCCCTAGTTTATATTTTAAATGATCATATTTACTTTTAGGAAAAATAATCAAAAAATTCAGATTGGAATTTATTTTTTACTTCTGTTGAGAATGTTTTATTTTTATTTTATTTTATTTATTATTTATTTTGACAGGCAGAGTTAGACAGTGAGAAAGAGAGAGACAGAGAGAAAGGTCTTCCTTTGCCGTTGGTTTACCCCCCAGTGGCTGCTACGGCTGGTGTGTTGTGGCTGGCACGCTGCGCCAATCCGAAGCCAGGAGCCAGGTGCTTCCTCCTGGTCTCCAATGCGGGTGCAGGGCCCAAGGACCTGGGCCATCCTCCACTGCACTCCCGGGCCACAGCAAAGAGTTGGACTGGAAGAGGAGCAACCGGGACAGAATCCAGCGCCCCGACCAGGACTAGAACCCGGGGTGCCGGTGCCACTGGCAGAGGATTAGCCTAGTGAGCCACGGTGCCGGCTGAGAATGTTTTATTTAATATCCCATGTCTTGATTACAAAAACTGAAATGTAAAAACATCTCATGAACTTGAGGCACTGATTTAAAACACTGTAAAATTCCAACATCCACTTTGGAATTCAAGTATAAAATAATTTGCTGACAAGTATTACTGACTACAACGAGAGGTGGTCGATCTCAATTCAAATAATGATTGGCATGATTGGACTTGATGATAGAATTTTCAACATGGGGGCCAGGCGCTGTGGTGCAGAAGGTTAAAGCCCTGGTCTGCCGTGCTGGCATCCCTGCATCCCTTAAGGGCACTGGTTCTAGTCCTGGATACTTCACTTCTGATCCAGCTCCCTGCTAATGTGCCTATGAAAGCAGTGGAGGATGGCCCAAGTGCTTGAGCCCCTGCACCCACATAGGAGACCCGCAAGAAGCTCCAGGCTTCTGGCTTCGGATCAACTCAGCACCAGCTGTTGCAGCCATCTGGGGAGTGAACCAATGGGTCGAAGAGCTCTCTCTCTCCCTCTGTCTCTCTCTGTAACTCTGTCTTTCAAATAAATAATTAAATATTTTTAAAAGATTTTTTTACATGATAATATATGTGCTAATGATTTTAGTAAGAACCTTGGTCTAGGTTTAATTTAAGATGTACCTTTTTTAAAAGATTTATTTATTTATTTGAAAGTCAGAATTATACACAGAGAGAGGAGAGGCAGAGAGAGAGAGAAAGGTCTTCCATCCCATAGTTCACTCCCCAATTGGCTGCAACACCCGGAGCTGTGCTGATCCAAAACCAGGAGCCAGGAGCTTCCTCCAGGGCTCCCACGTGGGTGTAGGGGTTCAAGGACTTGGGCCATCTTCTACTGCTATCCCAGGCTATCCAGAGAGCTGGATGGGAAGAGGAACAGCCAGGACTAGAACCGGCACCCATATGGGATGCAGGTGCTTCAGGCCAGGGCATTAACTTACTGCGTCATAGCACCAGCCCCAAGATGTACTTTCAAATGAGTGTGATTGCAGGAAGTTTAATGGAGAAAAGTAGAGCACTAAATAGTGTGAAATCCTGTGTTAATAAACTTGTTATTTTTTTAAGATTTTCTGTTATTATTTATTTGACAGTCTTCGATACAGAGAGAGGGATTGATATATCTTCCATCTACTATTCACTCCCCAGATGGCCACAGTGGCTGGACTGGGCCAAGCCAAAGCCAGGGGCCCAGTGGCCGGAGCCCAGGAACTCCCAGGTCATTAGCAGGGAGCTGGATCAGAAGTGGAATAGCTAGGACACAGATTAGCATCCATGTGGGCTGCCAGCATTGCAGGTGTCATCTTTACCCACCAGGCCACAATGCTGACCCCAAGAAACTACTTTTAAACTACATTTTGTCCTGGCTTTATTTTTACACTTACAGACTTAAAGAGTGATTTCATTGTTAATATCTGTGAATAGAATATTTAATTATCTATTAACAGTTGAGCAATTTATCACGTATTACTTTTACATATAATTTTTAGGGTGTTTATTTGACAGAGAGAGAGACAGATACAGACTCTTTGGCTGCTGGTTCCTTCCCCAAATGCCTGCAATGACTTAGGCTGAAGCTGGGAGCCAGCAGTTCAATCCAGGTTTCCCAGATGGGTGACAGGAACCCAATCAATTGAGCCGTCACCACTGCCTCCCAGAGTCTGCATGAAACCCGGGTACTCTGACATGGGACAGAGCCATCCTGGTCACTAGGCTAAATGCTCACCCCTGGAATGTTTCTTAGTTTAGATTTTATAATTACTTGACAAAATTTTTTAAGAAATTGCTGCAAATTCTGCCCACATGGAATCATTTATAGGTATCGTAGATTGTAATCTATTCCTTTCTTTAGGTAGAAGAAGGAATGCACCTGTTGATAACTGGTCCCAATGGTTGTGGGAAAAGCTCTCTCTTCAGAATTTTGAGTGGACTGTGGCCGGTGTATGAAGGGGTCCTCTACAAACCCCCTCCTCAGCACATGTTCTACATTCCACAAAGGTAGGCAAGGTCTTTATATTGCAAGAGACTATTTTGTTTTGCTTTTGAATTGTTTTGGTTCCTCAGACTCTTCATTTGTGCATCTTTAAGGAGGTTTTCATTGAGAGAAGCTATTAAGGAAATAAAATGAAATTGTCTCCCCCAGATTTTATGATTGCTTTGATTAGAATAGTCTCCAGGATAATACCACTTATCCCCACTGTCTGCTGAGTGCTCAAACACAGCACATGTTGGTCTTGGGAGTAGCAAGGCTGTGCCAAAGAATAATTGCATTTCCTTGGAGGTCAAGTTTTCTCTCGTCATAGGAAAAAAACAGTTCTTGGATAATTTACAAATCTCTCCATTAAGCTGCATACATACATATATTCTTTTTTATTATTCATTTGGAAGGGAGAGAGAGTGAAAGAGTGAGTGAGCGCATGAGAGAGAGGGAGAGAGCGAGAGAGGGAGATCCCATCTGCTAATTCCCTCCTCAATTGCCTGCAAAGGCTGGGACTCGGCTAGGCTAGTAGAGCTGGGAATTCAAGCCAGCTCTCCTATGTGGTGGCATGAAACCAACTGGTGCCTTGAAACAAACTACTTAAGACATCATCTTCTCCAGGGGTCTGCATAGGAAACCGAGTCATAAGTGGAGATGGGACTGGAACACAGGTCCTCTGATGATGACACAGGCATCCTAACCTTTAGGCCAAACATACAATCTAAAGTTGTTTATGAATGTTTAAGAGCCTCTGTAAATTGTCTATTACAATTATTCTGTATGAATAATTAAGTTTTTTCCATGTGATTGACTATAATATAAGCAACAGGGAAAAGAAAACACCATTTCTTCTGAAGTCATTAGCTATCTTCCCTTGTCACAATCTAGAAATGTCTAAACACAAAATTGAATACTTGCAAACGTAAGACATTTACTGTGGGTGAGAGAGAATGAGGGCCGGACAGGAGACATTCCTCATGTGTACCTGACTGGGTGACTTTCTGTGGCCATCACCCCGGTCAAGGAGACAGCACACAGAGTGACCTCCCTGCACCCAAGGATGTTGCGAGCAACCTGCTAGAGTGTGAGCCCAAGGAAGCACCGGACAGGGACAAGCAGGACGCTTACAACCCGAGCGCTGTCCCGGGTCTTGTTTGCCTCTTCCTTCGCCAGGAAGTGCTTCTCCCATCCTGCCACCAGTCTGATTTTCAGACCAGATGCAGTAGTGAGGCAGACAAGTCTTTGTGGCCTTGCGTTCCTCAAGGCAAGAGCTATGCTGGTAGAAGGGAGCTCACCGGAGGCGGGAAGGATGAAGACTGCACTGGATGAGGATCCTGGAGGCGGGCAGTGTCACGGATACTTCTGCGTACACAGGACAGAGGGATCTGTGCTGGTAACCGTGTCGAGACACTTATTTTTTCCCTGCATTTCACAGAGACAGCGACAGTGGCCCAGTTTGCAAGCTGGAAAACCTGGATTCCTAAGAAATTAGGAAATCACCTCAATGGTTTCCCAAACAACCTAACATTGCCAAAATATTGTTTAAAGAAGTATCTTGGCAAAACTAAGCAATTACTGTACACCACCTCGTAGACTTAGAGCTCCCCATCTGTACCTTAGATGAAATATTTCTCTCCTAAAGTTTCTCAAATGCTCCAGTAATTCTCACATCTCTGCGGTAAAGATGGATATGGGAAGCTGTTTGGAAGCTAATTTATCCAGCACAACTGGTTATGTTTTTATTTTTTTTTTTTTTACCTGAAAGGCAGACAACAGATTTTGAAGCCTAAATCATACTGCCAACGTTTCACATATGAATTTGTTAAGTAGATGTTTCAAATTTTTAAATTTAGGTTTCATGGCTTAGAATCATGAACAAAGCATTCACTCATAGAAGTCCATTCTCTTAAAGTAAATAAAAGGTGATAAATACATCATCTATTTTTGCTATTATAGCTTTCATACATGGTATAAAAGATATGTAGTTCTTAAACGTAGCTTTGACCTGAACGATGAACGAGATTTCCAGAGTGTTAGAAAGTGGATAGATCTCAGCTGTTGCCGAAAGAGAGACCTAACTCTCACGCAACAAACATAGATCACTGGGGAGCTTTTCTTCGTTATGAAATTGCCTAAGTAAAAATAAAGACCAGCTACAGCCTAATCAAGAAGAAAAATAACAATACAACATCTATTTTTAAGGCTAAAAATATTTTTAATAATTACTGTTAAAAATCATTTTACTTTGATTATATGGCTTCTAGATACATGGAATTTGTACTTACATTTAACATTTTTATAGTAACATTTTCCTTGCCAAAAAAACTCCATATATAATTTATTTAAGTATATATGTAAACTAATAGTGTAAAGGTAGCATTCATTTCTTAGATTCTTAATGTTACTTAATTTTTAAAATTTGAAAATAGGAGTGGATGTATGGCCTAGCAGTTAAGACACTGGTTAAGATGCCCATAGAAGATACTGAAGTACCTGGGTTCAGTACCTGTCTCTGGATCCTGATTCTGGCTTGCTTCTGATGCAGACCCTGAGAGATGGCAGTGATGGCTGAGTAATGGGGTTTCTGCCACCAACATGGGTGATCTGCACTGAGTTCCTGGCTTCCCGTTTATGCTAGATCCAGCCCTGGCCAGCCTTGCAGGCATTTCAGCCAGCAAATAGCTCTCTCTGTCTGCCTTTCAAATAAATACACAGGTTTTAAAGCAAGTGATAAAATATATAGGACTTTTATAAATTTAAAGAATATTCTGTTCTATTTTTTAAAAGAAAACTACTATATAACCTATTTCAAAACATTTATTAGCAGGTAGGCTTAAACATTTCTTCTTAAGATGTTTTTATTGGGGCCAGCGCTGTGACACAAAAGGTTAAGCCTCCATCTGCAATGTTGGTATCCCATATGGGCACCAGTTCAAGTCCTGGCTGTTCCACTTCCCATCCAGCTCCCTGCTAATGTACTTGGGAAAGCAGTGGAGGATGATCGAAGTCCTTGGACCCATGCACCCACGTGGGAGACCTGGAAGAAGCTCCTGGATCCTGGCTTAGGCCTGGCCCAGCCCCAGCCATTATGGCCATTTGGGGAGTGAACCAGTGGATGAAAGATCTTTCTCTCTATCTCTTTTTTGGTAATTCTGATTTATAAATAAATGCATAAATGTTTTTAAAGTATATTTTATTAATGAATATTATCTAGTATTATGTATTATAGTTTACTAGCTGGGCAGGAAAAAAGAAAATTTAATAAAGACTCGAGACTTCCATGCATACGTCACAGTTGTAGAACGGCTCTTCACAGCACCTACCCTGATTCCACTTTGAGAATGAATTCCTGGAAGATGATAGAGCTCTTCAGGTTTTGATAAAGTACACATTAATCGTTACTTTTATGGGGAAAATAGAGTAGATGTTGTTGAAGTTAATTTCTAATAATGTCATATGGTATACAGAAAAAAAATCAGTGAACTATTGAGAAAAAAATTCTAATTAACCCTATTAAGCCACTTGATTTTCTTCCACAAAATTATTATTTATGACTGTAATCATTTAACAAAAAAGCAAAAGCAAACAGGCCTGAAAAAGGAACTGAAGTGTTGTCTAGAATGTTCTCAGAACATCAGATACCTCAGTCACTAAGCCGCCTTTGAGCCACTTGACTTTTTAACCACATTTCACAAAGTTACAATGGCCGAGTTTGTGAGCTGAGAACCCTGGATTCCTAACACATTATGAAATCACATCAATACTTTCCCAGTTCCTGCCTTCAAATGCTTTAGCAATGTTACTAATCAGAACAAGATTTTTAAAAAAAACTGGGCCTTAGTTTAAGAATACAAAGACTTATGTGAGGGTGTGTTCTGGGGCACTGTCAGGTAAACGGCTGATTAGGACATCCACATCCCGTATTGTGAATGCAGACTTCACTTCCAATCCAGCTCCCTGCTAATGCACACCTAGGGAAGTGCAGGTGATTGCTCAAGGGCTGGGCCTCTTCCACCCACACTGGAGACGCAGATGCAGTCCAGGGTCCCGGCTTCTGCCTGGCCCAGACTCCGCAGTCTCAGTTGTTGCGGTCCTTTGGGGAGTGAACCAGCAGATGGAAAATCAATCTCCTCTCTCTCTCTCTGACTCTGCCTTTCAAATAAATTAATAAGTAAATAAATCTTTTATAAAATTTACTAAAAGCCACCCAGATGAGAAAATGAAATATCTGGTGGGCTTTGGAGACACAGAATGAGAGAGAGAGAGAGGGAGGGAAGAAGAGAGAGGGAGGAAGAAAAACAGAGAATGACAGGTACTTACTGACAAAAGGTAGACAATCTTGCCTTCTTTTATACTACTTTTTTTTTTTAGAAAGCTCCCCAGAGGGTCATGGTATCCATCCCATTCTCTCTCTCCCAGGCCACAGTCTCCAGCTGGCCTCCAGTCCACCGTGTCATTCTTGTTCCCAAGGATCCTGCTCTTATTCCCCTTCCTTGGAAGAATTATCTGGGGACAGAGATCATGCCCAGGACCTCTCCCTGCTCAGACCAACATGCCCAAATACTCAGGCCACCAAGTCTGACATAGATTCAGACTTCCCATGACTGGGTAGGAAAAACTAACTTGTACGGACTTATGGGCAACTGTGTCTTTGAAATCTTAGGAACTTATGGGCAACTGTGTCTTTGAAATCTTAGAAGTGAATGAAGGATTGTAGTATGTGGGTAGAATTAAAACTGACCAAACATACTTTAAAATAAAAAAAGAAAGAGGGAAGAAATAGGATATTATTTTTCATATCCTAGGGAAGTTTTATGCTTTTTTTCTTTTCATTTTAAATATTTTTTATTGAAACCCTGTTAGCTTGGTGTGCTAGCAGACACCATGGAGGGTAGATGATAACAACACAGTCTCACTCATTATGGTACTTACATCTCATTCGGTGATTAATAAGAAGATGCAACCCATTACACTAGAAGCTAGAATAAATGCCTCAAGAAAGGCAAGAAATGCTATGGTT